ACTCATCTCCTGCCAAGACACAGGTTCCCTTAGAGCTACCCTGGGAGTTTTCCAGCACCCGTGCTCTGCTGCCAGAGGCCAGATGTGTTGGCATAAGGGATGTGTTGACAAGTAAGGGAGGTTGCTCCAAAGATGGTGTGGGAGCTTGTAATACTAAATGTAATATAAATGCATGTAACATTAAAGATCAAAATGAGATTGAGGTAGGCTATGAGATCTCTAGGCTGGTGTAATTTGCCCTCTAACCTTTGCCCTATGTCAAGCTGAATATCAGAGCTCGTCATGTCTTCTAAGGCCACTGCAGGCATCTTTTTGTTGTTTGTTTAAAGTGCTGGGTTTGTAGCTCACACTCACTATTTAATAATGAGGAGGTGTTTGCCTGGGACACTTGGGTGGCTGATTCTGCAGCCTTGGTTGGGCTCAACCAGGGATGACACCGAGTGTACTGAATAGAAGTCTCCTGTGGAAAAGAACTTCTGCAATGGCTTACTGTGATTTCTAAGTTTATAAGGTGGCCTGTTGGGGTAGCCTTTACAAATGCTCCCCCAGTGTCACCTGACTTCTCTATCACTGCCTTCAGAGTGACAGGATCTACGTTTGAGAGGAAATATCTTGCTTTTCCAACTTGGATGTGACATGATCCCCTGTGATGGCTTTGATAGGATTTTCTGTTCCATCCAGAGAGTTCTTCAAACCAATGCTCCATTCAGCAGGCTGGCAATCATATTCAGATTTACTGTATAAGATGACATTATCAAGGAGTTATTAAATTCTTGGTCATGAGTCTCATAACTACTATGATGCAGCCTGTGGACAACCTCAGAGAAAGAAGACATCTGGATTTCGTGTGGTTCCATTTGTCACGACCCTGGCTGGGTCTTGCATACCATATATCAGATGTAATTTGGTCAGCAGAAGTGTACAGACAACCTCTGTGAGGTTCTGCCTGGCCCCAGAGGTACAGGCACTGCATGTGGCTCACTGCAGGCTTTGCAAAGTGCTGCTAAGAGAGAATGCTGCCACTGAACTGCCACCAGAATCTGGCTTGTGGAACTCACTAGGTCAGGCAGGACTTGGCCAAGATATCATGGGGTGTGCACTGGGGTGGAGTGGGGGGTTCATTTTCTGCTGTCAGCTGGGAAAGATTTGCTGATTGTGGTGATTTGTTTGTAGCAGGGAGGGGATGGAGCCAGAGGTTATATAGTGCAAAAGGTATTTTTCTTTTGGATGACTGTTGTGTGTTTTAATGCTTTCTTGTATCTGGATGTGTTGGGAACTGATAGAGTTCAGTAAATAATTAAGAGCTGCATAATTTCCAAATAAAAAGAGCTTATAAGAACAGGAGATGGCCTTTTAACTTGCAGCTTGCTTACTGTTTGTCCCTCAGAGGATGTAAAGGCCTCTTTACCCCAAATTTCAGCAGGGGCTTATAT